ATCAGGACAACATCTCATTCCAGTCTAGAGAACATGGCATATAACACCAGTGTGTGATTGTTGTGTGTCTCCCAAGTTGTTTTTGACTAATGACGACCCTAAGGTGAATCTATAATAGGGTTTTCTTGGCAAGTTTCTTCAGAACGGTTTAGCATTGCCAGTACCCAACAAAATACTTCCTGGTGCCAGAAAGAAAAGAAATGCACATGGACTCCTCCTTATGGCTGAAGCATGGAATTGGATTTCTACATAGAATGCTTCTGCCACTGTACCTAGATGGAGATAATGAACAAGGGACATAATTTATCACACAATCTCAGTCATAAGGAATTAGATGTTAGGATACAGTTTCAGAAACAATCCAAATATTGTCATCAAAATGGTTTACAGGGCTATAGTCATCACAAACAAGTTTTCCCATTCCCATTCACTCCTGGTTGTTGTTAAAAATTTGTTTACTTCTGCTAGATTGAGAGGAGCTTCAGTTCAGCACCTGGTCTCCTTCCCCTGACTTTCCCTACCCCCAGGCTCTTGGTGTTCTGTAACAGATTGTTGCACGGTAACTTCCCCTCTTTAAGGAGCTCAAAATCCATGTGTTTCATTAGACCAGTGAGGACATCGTAGTGATATTTCTTCAATTTCCTTGAGTAACCCCTTTAATTGGACTATCTAATTGAGTAATTTCAAGGATTTAGTTTCTCTCCAGCTTTCTGTTTATTTCATAAATGTGCTCATTAGAATCTGCAGCACTGTTTTGCACTGCTAACTGCAAATTCTTTTGTTTAGTGCTCTAGTCATCTAAACCTTTTGAAGGAATTTAATTAGCCACCAAGCTTAAAAGTGATTTTGTGGCTATGCAATACTAAGGACTGATAGCTTTTCTTACTGATTCGCTCAGTTCTAATATGTTTGTGTGTTTTCACATTTTAATTGAAGTAAGAGGGGAACCCATTAGACTTTAAAGCATGTTGTCATCCTGTGTGTGTTCTTTTCTAATAGATGCTTTGGATCCCGATAAACTATTGCAGTGTCCATATGACAAAAGTCATAAGATTAGAGCATGTAGGTTCCCCTACCACCTTGTCAAATGCCGTAAGGTAAGGTATGAAAATGGTCCATGTAAATGCTGATGTTGGATGTATAGGATTGTTTACCTTTTTGCCCGTTAAATAAGTGATATGTTACTTCTAAAAGATGTTCTCTTCCCATTTTGTGAAATGAGTTTCAGCAAATCGTACACCATTCCCTTCTTTTATAACATGGCTTGGTATGACAATGTGCCTTGCTAATCTTGCCTGATGCCCATTCCTTCATATATTGGTGCAAAGAGAAAATGAATACAGAATGTTATGATATAGCAGTTGGAGTGTTGGACTATGACACTGGATACCAGGATTCGCTTTCCTCTTAGCCATGGAAACCCACTGAGTTACCTTGGGGGAGTCACACTCTCAGCCCCAGAAAGACTTCAGCCTTAGGGTTGCCACAAGTTGGAAATAACTGGAAGGCACACAGCAACAGAGCCATGCACTTTTTCAATTGGAGAAACCATTTTTATTAGGCCCTCTGGAGAAATAAATACTGGTATTTCTTAGCTAAAGGACCACCATCAGGCTGCAGGGGTGTGGACATGACACATGCCCTCAACGTGGCCCAAAGCCGCCCCAGGCGCAGCTCTTTTCTAAAGAGCCAGCCCAAAAAGGAGAGGAAAAATTTCCTCCTTTTCAGCATGCCAGTTGAGGACTGTGTCGGCTCAAATTGGAGCCAGGTGTATGCAGCTGCCGTGGCCCCGATGCAAATGGGCCCCACACAGTCCTGGAGTGGCCCTTTGGGGCCATCTGTATCGCCCCATAGTCTCTTAGTATGTGTTTTTAGCTAGCTTTATCATATTCATCACTAAGGAGAAGGGAAAGTTTTTTCCCTTTAAAAGAGTGTGACTAGGAATTTCTTAACATGAAAAGCTATCACATCCTTGAAAGAGGGCTCCTAGACTTGACAAAAGTATAATGCCAATAGTACTTGGGCCACACACACACACACACACCTACACACACACACACACACCTATCTATCTTACATCCTAATTAACAAAGTACTCAGCAACAACATAAATGTGAAAAGTCTCTTCTTTTTTCTAAGAGTTGCAACTTTAAAATGCATTTGTTGACATTTCAAAGCTTGGCACAGTGTGTACAGGAACTCTTAAGACTTTTTGTAAATATTTCAGAATATTCCTTACCTTGGTGCTTTTATGCAAGGGTGGTCATGGCCAGTAGTTGGCTGCATTGGTTCCCCACAGGACAGATAACGACTTCACCATTTTCACCCTGCCACCATAAATTTGTGGGGATTCAGCAGCATTGTCAACCGTTTTGCTGCATTTTCAGGAGACTCACCTGAATGCATTGCATAGGTATGTGTACTTCACATTGCTCTGTAATTTGTAGTAAGAATCTAGTGCTCAAAGCGTTTTCACTTGTGCCCTCTCATATCTAGAAGCAATTTTGAAGTGTCTCTTAATGTGTGTGTGTGTGTTGTGTACCTTCAGGTTGCTTCCAAATTAGTCAAATCTATCATGGGGTGTGTTGGTTTTTGTTTTTTGTTTTGTTTTTGTTTTTGTTTTTTGCAAGATTTGTTCAAAGGCGGTTTGCCATTGCCTTCCCTTGGGGCTGCGAGATTATGACTTGCCCAAGGTCACCCAGTGGGTTTCATGGCTAAGCGGTCTCCAGAGTCATAGTCCAACACTCAAACCACATGTTAATGATATATGGTATATTCCATAAGTCTTCTGAATGTCATGGGATATACAGTAGGTGCTCGGTATCCATGGGGGATCTATTCTGGATCCCCCTGTGGATACCAGAATCCATGGATACTCATAATCCCATTGTTCTCAATGGTGGCACGGCTGTACCACCATTGGGGACAACGGGGCTTTGCAGCCCCAGCCACCCAAAACCTGCCTCGCCACTCTCACCATGGCAGATGGCAAGGGGCTGCCTCCTCTTCATCCTCCGCCACCGCCTCCCTCCTCCTTTCTCCTCCTCCCCTTCCTCACCACCACCGCTGCCTCCTTGCTCCTCTTCCTTTTCTTCCTCCATGCTGCCACTTCTTTCTCCTCTGCCTCCCCCCCCG